GTAGTCAATTTTGCTAGATTAGAAAATGTAATTCCCTAACATAAGTCACATCAGTATTATAKTGATGGCCATCTACTGATTCCCAACAAGAAAAAGAATAAAGTTATCACAATGAAAAAAGACAAACTGAAATAAGAGTTTAGGAGATCTGCTAAATGCAGCAGAAAATATGTTGCTTTTTCCAATTTGTTGCAAATATTTCAATATTTTTTCTTTCTCAGTACACTATCCAAAAAAAAAAAAAAAAAAAACAAGTTAAAAAAAAGTTCCTTTTTTAAAGCCTAAAATTACAGGAGTGGGATCAGAGGGATAAAYAAAATCTGAAAATATACTGACTCAATTCCCAGAGAGCAACCAGTTACTAAAWTCTCAATTACACCAAATAAAATCACTTTCTTCCTAAAAAAAAAAAAAATAAAAATGGTTTTGAATTTACATTTAAAGCTGGGATATAGTTTAGTGGCAGAAGACTTGTCTAGCATGAACAAGGCCCTGGCAATTATCACCCTGTTATGACAAGTGCTYATTGGCCCCTCCCCACTATTAAGACTATGAACTTCAAAGACTTCTGCTGCTCATGTGATAGAACAGATTGAGTAGTTGCTAAAAACCAGACATCATTCTAGGCACTTTAATATATGAATGAAAAACAGCAATGAAAAAAAAAAAAAAAAACCTGCCTTCTTGGAGCTGACATACTGTGTGTGTGTGTGTGTGTGTGTGTGTGTGTGTATGTGTGTATGTGTGCGTACATATATATTAAGATATATGTATGTGTATATTTTCTTATGTGTATGTGAAGGAAAGAATGAAAGAAAAAAGGATACAGTATTAAGTTTAAACTTGAAGAATCATTATTTCTTCCACAAAATTCAGACTATTGAGAAGTACTTATATGTAAAATAAAGATTATTTTTTAATTCATACTTAACCTCTAGACCTGCCTATTTTCTTCTACTAGATACTGAAAAATACCCTACACATACATATCATATTTTACAAAGATAACATTGATTCTAAAGTCATTAAGAAAATGTGTTTAGAGAATTTAAATGTCAGTTAAAAATTGGCAGGATACTATTTCCACAGTTATGTTTGTAAATTTTCCTGTTTTATATAAAATAAACATATAAAGCTATATCTGGTATTTATACCTAGTATAACATTTTTCACTGAAATAAGAATAACAACATTATAATTTGAGTTAATTACAAAAATTCAGACTTATGAAATTTAGTTACGTATTAACTSTGTAAAGAATTCAACCTGAAATTCATATTACCAGCTTTGCTGAAGAGTCACTATTATTTGTAACTTGTCACTTGAGCAAGCTTTCATATGTCTGACTTATGCTTGCCAGGGCTCCATTATATAGCATAATTTAATTCTCTGGGACACAAAAATTCAATTTCCTTTCCTACYTACTGATACATGATTCCACAGTGGGTTACTATGCTTATAAAAATTGGCCAAAATAATCAAAGCACACCAGTTTCTCAACAGACCAACTTGTGAAGGGCTTGAGTTTAGTTCTCCAGGAATAAAATCAATTATATAAAAATTTTACAAAATATTTTTAAAGTTTGGTCTTCATTCAATCATTGTTTATTTAGAAATTCTAAACACAATTTTTAAAAAATACAGGAAGAAGAAAAATGTTTCTATYTTGCAAAAATATTCACTAAGACTGATTGACAAATAATAGAGTAATTCTAACAACTAGGCTTTTATATAATTAGYTTTTGCCATACTAAACTTCAAAAGTGGTTATTGATTTGGTTTTTTAATGTGTATAAGAGGCACTGGAGGTATAGCTCAGTGGTAGAGCATGGCCCTGGCGAGCATAGGCCTTGGGTTCAAATCCRGCACCATAAAAATAAAGGAATATGCACAAGAAACAGGACATATTTATAAGGTCTGTCTGAACACAGAATAAGTACTTCTCACGAATTTGGATCTGATAGGTATAGATCTAAAATAAATCCAACATGATATGACGCCTTTAAATAATACCAAGGTAAATCACTACTTTGGAAGACAGAAATCTCTAAGAAAAAAGGCATAGTCCATGGTGATTCTACAATATGTAAACTGTTTTGTTTTCAAATATTAGTTGGTTGCTATTATTTAAAATCTTAATGTCTGGTTTCAATTGAAAAGTTGGAAAACTGGCAAAACTGGGCTATACACTGGAAAGGACTTAATCATGGTCCTTTGGCAAGCACTTCCCTGTCTGTGGCAAACCTCAGACTGCTTGATACACTCAAGTTACTTTATCTGTTTGACCCTAATAGGTGTTTGAKGTTCCAAAGCTGTGCAAGAACATGAGCTCCTCAGAGTAAGAACTGTGCTTTGTGTATCTTTGAAACCTCATCTGAGTTTATGTGCAAGGACCTGGGAACTATACAAAAAAATACCATCTCATTTTTTTTTTTAATATTTTAAAAGGTAACATTCATGGAAGGGCTCAGAAAAAAACTTAATGGCTGAATAATTAAATTTCTATCTTCCTTCCTATACCCTCATACCTAACTTTGATTGGTTTTCTCTATAGGTGTTCACAGACCATTATCTGGTTTCCTGCAATAAAGGACTATTCTGTCATGTAAAACTTTTCTAAGACAAACTCATGTGATGCTGGATAAATGTTCTAACAGTGTGCATTAGCTGTGTATACTCTTAGAATAAGCAGTGTGAGTTCGTCCCCAGTTCTTTTTATCAGTAGGAGGGAATTGCTTCAAAAGCAATACCCCCTGGCCTGATGTGCCAAAAATGATATTTCTCTTAACAGCAGATATGAATCCTGACCTGATAGGTGACACTAGAAATAAAACTGCAGTATCTCATGAAAAAGTCTCTGTCTGCTAGCTCTCCCTGCCCCCGACTGAGTTATGCTACTGCGCCAGCAAAGTGGTCTCCACACCAATTGGAAATTTTTCATTATTGGACTAACGATCCATTGGTCCACACCTGGAATCTTTTTTAAATGTATAAAAACATCAAACATAACAGCAGGAATTCAGTTATTATTCTTTCTAAAAACCAGATGCAAAATTATAAACTATCCATATGATTTTCACAACAATCCAAGCCTGAGATTCACATTAAARCTCAATTCCTGCTTCTTTTTTATCATTACAGTACTATTCTTCACTCAGACATACTACACTTTTAGAGTTGATGTATCTCCAATTCTAAAACAAAGAGGAATATAAACTGAAAACAAAATACTAATATATTTRTAACTTTCAAGTATGACTTAAATCTAAATGAACATTATATACTTTCTGGTTACAGAAGTTTTTATTTTAAAATATTTCTAAATTTCTATATGGTTTAAAATATATTATCAAGTTTTATCAATATATTGAGTGTAGGAATTGGTAGGACAGGAAGAAAATGACAAAACCTAAATTTGGAACAAACAATTCAAATAAAATTCTTTTGGCAAAATTAAAAGGTTAATGTTTTGAAGCTTATTACAAAGACATTGGAATAATAAGCTCCTATCTATTAGCTGATATCATGCCTTTTTTCCCTGCCAACCATTTTATTAATAGTTATAAATAGAATAATTAAAAGCATATATAAAACCAATTTAAAAATTCTAAAACATTTTTATCAATACTATTTCACTGGGCCTTAAAAAAAAATCCATTATATTTTATATGGATTTATCAAAGACWCTATATTCTTCAAAGCTTTTATAAGTTAACATTTTCATGCTGAATACCACCATCAACTAGCTATAAAATTTACACATCTTTCCTCCATATTAACTTTCAGTCTGCTTTATGTTCCATACTATCTGGATGAATGTTCTTTTCACATGGGAATATTATTTCAGACTGCATAAATAGTGGGTACCAGAAAATCTACACAGTAAATAATAAATGATCRTTCCATTTATTTCATTAAGCCTCAAAAGTGCATTTACTTCTTTAAAACTCAGTCAGGTTTGATAGTGCATGTGATAATCCCAGAAGTCTGGGGCAGAAAAATTGTGAGTTCAAAGCCAGCCTCACCACTTTATCAGGACCTGGTCTCAAAATAAAATATAAAAAGGGATGGAGATATAGCTCAGAAGTAAAGTATCTCTGGGTTCAATCACCAACCCAGAAAAAAAAAGTTGGTCTGTCTTGAAAACTACTCACCATTAATCAAGAGTTATACAATTTTAGGAGCTAGAAGTATAACTGGTAGAGTGCTTGCCTATAATGCAGGAGAGCCTGGGTTCCATCCCAAGCACCACAAAAATACAAAAGAAAAAAATTTTAAGCAATAGTGCTCAAGAAAAAAAAAAAAAGTCTCCCTGCATTTTTATAAGTTTTCACATGATGGATATATATATATATATATATATATATATATATATATATACTTAAAAAAAAACAGATAACATTAAGAAGTACTACAAAAATCGTTTTTACAAGATGTGAATTTTTTTTTAGGCATTTGTTTTAGGCATTTTAAAACTACAACTATACTTGAACAGACAAAAAATTAAATACGAAGTGAAAAGATCACCACAAAGGGCTGGGGTGGAGGCTCAATGGTAGAGTGCTTGCCTAGCACATGTGACACACTGGGTTTGAGCCTCAGCATCACATAAAAATAAGAAAAAAATAAAATAAAGGTATTGTGTCCACCTATATCTAAAAATATGTTTTTARAAAATCACCACCAAATACTTCAAATTTCCTAGAATAAATAGATTTACGGCAATAGTCAATAAATGTAAAATATATCTAATATGTCATTTAGTTCCCTTAGGATTATTTAGAATTGTTGTAGGTCACAAATTTATGTAAAATATAAATTCAGACATCTAGCACTTTCTATAATTTATAGCAGTGTAATGAAATAATTCAGCCACCAAAAGAAGAATTCAGCACCTCTTTTAGAATAATAAAAWAATATTCTAACCACTTTCACAGAAAGAAGATTGCATAGCTCAAGTTCTCCTTGATTTAAGGAACAAAATTTAAACTGTGTCTTACCTTCTGTATTCGGTAAGAAGCTGATTATAATGATAAACCACAGACTTCGCATTCTGCAACCAGAAGACACCATTATTGATCCCTTTAGATATTTCTTTGTATTCCTTAATGAATCTAGTTATAAATGCCCAGCTTCATCGAACCCAGCAGTCTGCATCATTGATCCTCATATCTGAAAAACAAACAAATCTATCATTGGCTTTATGGTCCTGCTATGTCACAGAAAATACAAAAATAACAACTTTCTCCCCTTCCCTCCCTTTTTTAAGTATAAAATATATTTTGATTCTAAATCAAATGTGGAAGCTGCTCCTATACACTGGATACCTAAGCCTTGCAACATAAAGTAACAGTAAAGGTACATAAATTCCTAATAAAGAAGCCTTCTTAGAAAAACATGAAAAACTTGAAAGTCATTCTAGGATGGGTCAAAATTCTAGATTTCATATGTTGTACTTTTTCACAAAGTATAACTTAAAATACATCCTTGAGTCCACTAAGCTCAAATAAAAAACCCAAAGATTATGATCAGTGCACCGCTCCAAGGTGCATAACTAGGGGAAGGATCACCAAGAATACCAAACCTGGGGTCAATTCTAATTTTGACTAGCTCTTATAGGCCCAGTTCTCCAAACAAGATACAAACACTATCAGGAGGGTGACTTTAAAAAGTGTTTTCTGGATCCTAGTATYACCTGGAATTAGGTCTTTCGCTGGGTTCTGCACAAGAGCTGTGCTTTCTAGAGTAGTATGAGGATCTGCATTATAACATTAGCTTTGTCAGACTCATAAAATGAAGGCAGTTCCCAAATATATCTAGTCTCCCAGTCTAGCCTCTGAGGGTAAAGAAATCACAAATGTTCCCTTTGAGGAGAACACCTTACACTTTCTTCAAATTAATTTCCTATTATTTGCTACAAATTAATTAATCCCCTWCCAAGTTTTCTCAAGCCACCCTTGACAAGCTGCTAGAGTTGTATGAAGTGAGACAGTGAGGGGACTCCCMTCTTCCCCATTATGAGGTTGTATTGGTAATTCAAATAAGACRATTCTTAATAATTTAGATGCTGTGACTAAAACATAAGCATAATTTAGAAAACAAAATTCTACTTATAACTTTGAGTTCTCTTTCACATCGTGGATGTGTGTCATGTCTCCATCAGAGACAAACACATGCTTCATGTATCATAGGGATTACAGTAGCTGCTCACTATGTTCTATTCACTTTAAAGGAGTTCTATGGAAAAGCAGATTCTAAATGGTTTGGAAYATATTTCACACAGGAAAAGCACGATCATGGCTTTCATATGAAGGAATACACTACAAAGAATGTAAAAGAATTAATCTAGCCCAGCCATGGTGGCACACGCCTCCAATCCCAGCAATTCAAAAGGCTGAAGTGGAAGGATCACAAGTTGAAGACCCACCTCAACAATGTAGCAAGGCCCTACGCAACTTTAAGTGAGACCCTGTATCAAAGTAAACAAAAAAAGGGGGGAGGGAGCTGGGGAGTTATGGGATGTGGTAAATTACCCCTGGGTTAAATTCCCAGTACCAAAAAAGACAATTAAAAAAAAAGAAAGAAAGAAATTAATCTAAACTTTAATTCATTAAAAATCACAGATGAAACAAGCAAAATATCTCTATAATAAGGAGTATGTTTTATCATGCCCACAGTCTGAGATACAACTGTTTTTCTCTATACCATGGCCCATGACCACCCCAATTTTAGCTCTCTCTGAAAACATTAAAGACATTTAGATACAACGGGGGTCGCAGTTGGCATTATGCAGCTCTGCAAACACCTCAATGCTTCTCTGTCGAAAGAAACAAAACAAAAACAAAAGAAAGGGCAACATGCTTCCTCTCCTGAATGCCAAAAATACAAAAAGAGCCACACATCAAAAATCAGTCTGATGGAGACATGACACACATCCACGTMGAAATAGCTGGCCCATTCTGTTCATTTTTGAACTGAATTCCCAAAAGGTTAGTCAAAAGACAATCTAAACTAAAACTAAAGTTTACATCGGCTGTGGCCAATTTCCTACCTTTAAAATGAAAGTCAGATCAAAAGGCTAATGGCCTGACATACAAAGGCTGATCCATAAACAATTTCTTACATCTTACAGTCTGTTCAATAATCTGATCAACAATTAGAGTAATTTTAATATGTGGATGAGGGTTCATTAATTGCTAAAAGTAAAACTGAGTGACCCCCTAGACTGTTCCACATTCTAACAAAGAATTTTTGACTGTGCAAGTTTTACTTGTARCGGGTACTTCGATTTCAATGAGCGAATGCCTACAGGCAGCTGGCCTGCATGTACAACTCTTCAACACAGTTACATTTTCTTAAGGCGATCCAAGATCATTCAGTATTTGGTCACTCGCTATTTGAAAGAGTCCTTGTTTGTGGGAAGAAAGGGAAGGAAGAAATCAGGGACTGATGACTGCCTTGTAGGAAACAGCTGCCAAAATAGGAAAACCTCTGCTAATAAGAGGAAAAGGAGGAGGAAACCACACAAYCAAGACCTCTACTGTGGTCTTTGGCAGGACAGAAAGCTTCATGAACAGATTCTGTACTAAATCTCTGTGTGTTCTTAAGGCTTGAGAACGAGAAACATAATTCACAAAGTACACTCCAGTTGACTACGACACTTTGTCAAATAGAAACAGGTTCTGGAAAGTAAAAATCATGGCTTCTATATGCAAATAAAGCTTATGTTCATCTGCAGAATATCGAATTTATTTTTTCTCATTTCCACAACTTATATGCAATCAACTCTCATATCAAATAAAATTATTTCCAGAAGTTCAAACTTAAAGTGCAATTTTGAAAACTAAATCAAAAAGATTTTACTGCTGTGATCCAAATTAAAAACAACCCTTCGCTGAGCAAATGTTAATGAAAATTGAAATACTTAGCAAACCACAGTAAGCTAAGAATAGAATGAATAAACAATCAAATATGGTGAAACTAATCCCCAAAAAACATTGCTCCTAAACCAAGCTGGAGCCAAAGGGCACTCAGACACTGATGCAGCTAGCAGACCATCCTTCAAACTAACWACCTGTAAAAATAAGCTCAAGAGTGTCTCACAAGGCAAAACAAAAACAAGAAACAAAACCAGAAAGGGCTATTAARTTTCCTTTCAACAAATAGAAAAGATTAACTTAAATAAGGTCCCACATTAGTAACTTATTTGTATTTTGATTTTCCCTCTCTTTTGGAAACCTTTTTCCCAAGAACATCAGAGTTCTTAGCATAAAGTGTGAGAGGAACTGAGAAGATATTTAACAGCTCATTTATTAGTAAAAACAGAAACAGCACACTTCTACTTAAACTATCAAGGATTATGATCTTTAAAGATCCAAGTCACTTCTAATACACAGTCTCCTACCAAGRCTTTTTTTCTATCCTCCAAATAAAAAGATTCAAACAATTTCATCAGAATCTTGTTTCTATGAACCACAAGCCATTGTCTACCAAACCTCTGCCATGATTTTTTTAGATCTAAGTATCCTATTACTCTGTCATGTAAAAAGGCAATTAATGCATCATTACTACCAAACCTTCTAAAGCTGAATAGTGACTTCCAGGAATCCGCTTCAGCACTGTTTATATCCCAACAGCCTTCAATGTTTTATACACTACTTACAATGTACAGTCAGCTGGAGTCTTCAGACAGTAACCTGCTTATATTTATTAGCTGTAATAAATATCCTGTGCCTTAAACTGTCAGCAAAATTATTTAAAAGGAAAATACCACTAACCAGTTTATAGTCATATATTTGTGTTACATTATCAGGAAATCACATTTAGCCTGATATTGTGATATTTATTTAGCAAATATAGAAAAAGTAAAACCTGTTTGTTGATCAGCATCAATTAAATAAAGTAGAATACAACATCARTTGTAATTAATTAGAGGAAAAGAAAATTTAACTAAAAATTTCAAAATGRGTTAACTAAGGATGCTATTCTGTCAAGAGCAAAGATTCATATTGACAGCTTTATCTTTGATTTCTACTCAGACAAAAAAAAAAAAAAAAACACTGTGAACAATGGCTATTAAGCCCAGAAAAACTATAAGCAAGAGAGCAGGGAAAGCAAAAGCTACCCAAGCACAAGACCTATCCGTCACCCATCTTTGCTGGTGTGCACTAATGTTGTATAAAATGAAACATCAATACTCGGGGTAAGCCTACAATTGTATGCACTGTGTGTGTGTGTGTGTGTGTACTCTAAATGAAAGCTGAACATAGCTTTACAAAATTACTCATTCTGATCTTATTTGCACTATAAAATTATAATAATTATAGGACATAATTTGCTAGTAAAATAAGCTGTTATTCTGTTTTATTGAAACAAACACAAGAAAGGATGATACTAACCCCACTGTGTCCCCTACACAGGCATAGAAAACAAAAAATAAATTACAGTTTAATATCCATTTCACTGGAACTCAACCAGAGCATTTACTCTGCAGAACTATTTTATATGTGATCTGTAAAGTCTAGTTTCCCCTTCTCATTGGCATCTGAAAAAAAAAAAACATCAACACCTCTGGGAGTTTTTCTCCGGTAAGTCGGCTAAGCAAACTGGGCTATCACTAATCAGAAAGGCTTTCTTCACTCCAGACATACCATTTGGATTTGAGTTTATTTTCTTTGCTTCACAAGGACAGCATCAGGGATGGGCTGGAAATGCTCACAGAGATCCTAAACCAYGTGGCCAACCATTAGTAACCACCCTCTCCCTGTCTCATTTCTGAATGCCACGGTATGTATCAAGACGACTGGCATCAAGTCCAGAGTACTTTAATTAAACTATTTATACAATAGTCCCCTTAATATTTATTATTCGTCTTACCATTTACTGAAATTTCTTCACTGTAAAGGAATAGATTCTCCTATGAGAGGGCTTAGAGGAGCAGAAAGAAGAGGTCAGGAATACTCCTAGTAAATGACATCTGCTATATGCTATAATATCTAGGAGTCGTGCTGAGCATACAAAAGAGGCTTGTAGCTGTGGACATCAGAGGCACAGTCCAGGGCAGTCTGCCATTCTCTTCATTAAAATCCATCCAATTGAAATAATAAAAACAAATAGCTGTCACTTTCAAACCAATGTGGGGGACATTTCATGACTGTAGAAACTTGCAATTG